CCGTGCTGCATTGCAGGGACATGTGATAAATACGGTAAATGTAAGACTGAAGTCCTGAGCTTTTAATAATATTCTAGTTCTGATGTGCTTCTGTTGTCAATCGTTACATGTCTTTAATCTGGATGAGGCCTGAGCATGGCGTTTAAACACTAACAGACAATAATTTTGTAAAGCTGGGGGGTTTTTTGTTCTTGTTTTTTTCTTCCTCTCCCAGCAGCTCTAAAGTAGTTTTATTTATGACAATATGTACATAAATGAGAAAGCAAAACATAATGCCTGGTTGTACTCTGTGACTTCCAAGATGCAATTCTTTTAAGAATGAGTTTGAGCATACATGCTCTTACTATGTGGCGTAGTAGTTGTCAGGGACTTTTATCTGAAAGCACATATTTGATTTTCGTCTAAACTTTTATGTTCTTGAGCAAAATCAAAGTGTGTTGTACTAAATACCTTTCCATAGATTCCAACAACAATACCTCTGGGCTGTGATGCAAGAATTTTTCAAACTAAAATTCCATCCACTCCTTTACCTCTTTTTCTAGCTTCCTCCCCTCCCCAGTCAATAAGCTCTTCCTCTCTTGCTTCCCTTTCTCCTTGGCCTAGGCAACATCAGGCTGATGTAGCTATATTGCATTTGTTTTAGGAAAACATGCCTGTCTTCAACACTGTGTTGTGTCCTTTTCCTCTTCTCAACCTTGGAATATGCTGTCTTGTTGGAGAAGGTGAGAGTGTTTTTTTGTACTGTCATTTAGGACAAATGAAATTTCTTAGCATCCTTGCACCACAAAGTTGAGGTTTTGTTTTAGATTTAATGTGAATTATGAACTTAAACTGCATGTAGGCATTTTCCTTCTGTGTATAGTGCTTATTTTCAAAATAATTTTTCAGTGGGTTGTTTTTCCATGTTATCTCTGCATCGTTAACCAAGCACATTTGAATCCTGCTTTTTTTTTTAGTTCATAAAGTGTTTTACCGAACTGAAAACCCCATAATATATTCTTTGTCAAGGACCAAACTTACAGGATGTTTTCAGAAAACATTAATTTCTTCTTTCATTTGTTTAGTGTGAAGCTTGCTTGTGTTTTGTAGTTTCATTTGTCATTAATAAAACAAGACAAAGCAACCAGAGTACTAGCCAGTTTAACGGCATTTATAGTGGTTTTACATAGAACATCGCAAAGGCAGGAATAAACTGAGGGCAGGCAGCCTTTCACTTGCTATTAGTCTTTATTCCCGGGGGTGGGTGGGGGTGTGTGTGTAAAATTTAAGATTCAAGACATTTTATTTTTAACTGATCATCTGAAGTTGGGCATAAATCTATGTCAGAGGAAAAAAGAAGTTGCTAGGTTTTGTTTTACAAACTGGTCCTTTATTTCATAGTTCTTTGATTGCTTTGGAAGTATTATCTATTTTATCCTGCTAAGAGGAATTGATAATCACTGATAATAATTATTTTCTGTTAATAATGAAAGACAATTATTTGTTAGTCCTTTCTAAAACAAAATCTTCAACTTTCAGATGAAAATTAATCCTAATGACTGTTCTGAATTTGAATGGAGCCTGAGTGCAAGAATTTCCACTCTGGGGGAAGTCTAAATAGACTTTCTTTCCCGCACAGTATGGAAAAGTATGACATTTCATGCTAAACTGAAAAAAACTTAAGAGTGATTGAATTAATACATTAATTCATCTAAGTAATTCTGGGAAGGGAGGCATGATATTAAAAAAACTACCCTCTTCCACCCATGAAAAAGAACTTCCCCAAAACAATCCCCCCCAGACCCTCAGCTGTTTCTGACCAAAATTCATGTCACCTGGAAGTACAGAACAGTGACTGGCACCTCTCTAATATTGCTCTCTACTGTAACAGTATGAACTTTCCGATGTGATAAGTGTTACAGTATCTGTCATGATAGGAGCTGATGATTAAATTTCATGGATATTGTGATGGAGGAAGCTGGGAAAGTTTGTGTGTTTTACTAGGCAAACATGCTAGCTTCCTTAACCTAAACTGTTCTGTGTCTGTGCATTTAAGTGGTATGTTACTTAGTTATGGTGATGTGTGATGCGCAGGGATTGGATCATAGAGGACTGACGTAATTTAGAACATGTGAGGTTTTGTCTAATTTAAAAAAAAAAAAGTTAAATTTTTGTTTAACATGAGGTTGATTAAATATTGGAACAGAGACCCAGAGGAGTTGAGAAATCTCCATCCTTGAAGATATTCAAAACTTGACAAGTTCCTACGCAGCCCTTTTGAATTGGACTTGCTTTGCCTGGGAGGTTGGACTACATGACCTTCTAAGATCCCTTCCAGCCTACAGCATTGTATGTTACTAGAAAACTTCCTTCATCTGTCTGTCTGACATGGTCCAAGATATGCAAAAAATGCATGGCACAGCATCTCCTGGGGCTCTGGATATCTGATCATCCAGTAAAAGAGTCCTTGGTGCACTACAGCACTTCTGCCATGTATGAGACGAGCAAAGTAAGAAAAGCAATAGAGAGAAAATTCATGACAAGTCTTTACCCCAGCATAGGGTTGAACGGCAGTTGTGGTATCCAGGAACTGAAAATATTTCTGACACATGGGGACTAAGCACAGTTTTTTGTTAGCTAAAATTATTGCTTTGTAGGATAGAGTCATCCGTTCTGTAATCGTGGACAAGATGGGACATTGCTAGCCTAATTTCATTTACGATATTTCTTATTGCCTAGTAAAATGTGTACTTCTTTGTTAATAATGACCTGTTTTCTGCCCTCTATTTTCTAACTTACTGATACCACAATGCGGATAAGAAGTTACTGTTAACAATTAGATCCCTCAAAGCAAATCTTCAGGTTTTTTTTTCTTGTTTTGAAAAGACAAACAGAATCTTAAAGCACAAGGTAAACTCTGCAAATTGTTTAATTGCTTAGCTAGATACTGAAGACTTAACTGAATGAAACATCTCTCTTAAGCTTGGAGAATTTCATATATTGTGGAAAAAATGGCAGGATAAGTAGCAACGAAGGTATAGTTCGAGTGATGATGCTGAGAGGCCATACAGCAACACTCTGTCACTGGCAGGGCAGCTTGGAACTAGCCCATGTGTTCTCTAGTTTTAATGTCATCTTTGTGCATATATTTGAACTGGTAAACATGCAAATACTGCAGAAGGTTTCAGAATCTGATGCTAGCATTAGATTCTGGAGTACAAGGAAGACGTCTTGGGTTCAGGTTTTCATGTATGGGCTCCCACACCCTTGTATTTGTCTTGCTTCTCTAGGTACACCTTTTTTCTGAATTGGCAGGAGGCAATGGCAGCAGTAGATAACGGGCTTAGGCATATTTATCCTCATCTAATACATACCTTTGATAAGTACCAAGGCCAGACACAATTATTTCTTGCCCATATTGTGGCTCTGCCCTTAGCTATTTGCTATATTTATTGAAGTCATGTCAATTTACAAGTTATACTGTTTAAAAATTCTGTTAAAAGCAATGTGCTGGCTTGGTTTATTTTGAGGCACTTCTGTTTAACAAATTCTTGATCTGTGTGAGTTTTTTGTTTGTTTGTTCTTCCCCATCCTCAATTAGTACTAGACTAAAACGATTCTTTGTCTGCTCCCCCTTATCAGGTGTTTTTTTTTTTACCTTTTGGACCTCATTTCAAACATAGAAATGTGTTGTCCAAAGTAGCTGCGTTTAATCAGCTCTGTATGGTAGAAAGAGTTCCTTCCTTGGTGATGGCAGATTAATCTGTGTTTACAATTTAAAAAAAAAGGTATTTGTTAGTGTTTTGGAGAGAAATGCCATCTTTCTCATTACTTTTAGGTTATATACTTGAACTGTGGTAGTTTAAAGGTCCAGTTTTATGTACTTATAAACAGGTTTAAAGGAGAGCTCACGAGGTGATTTTGGCACCTGCACGGGCAAGTTTCAAAGAAGCAAAATGCTCACTGTGTGTGTACTTTGTGAGACTTGTAAATGAAAGCGTTGTGTTCTGTTGGCTCTGCAATATTGATTTTATTCATAGACTGTTCTTGCAGCGATTCCAGTGTTCTGAATAATAGCTATGTAGCTATATTCAGAATTTCATTTAAAATGATGGTTTTTAAGGCTTACAGATTAAATAGGAAACCTATGCTTTTTAACTTCCATTGAATTTGTGACTTACTTGTGTATACCTCTGCCCTCCTAATAGCTTGATTTTGCATGACTAAAGTGACAAAAGACATTTTCCCCCTCTCTTCTTTTCTCTACATTTCAAAGAGGATGTTAAAACAATCTGTGGATAGTATTAAGTCAAAACTAATTTAAACTAAATATGTCAATATCTGTAATTTTTTTCATGAACTGAAACTTCTAAAATGGGAACATGTCATTTTGGTCTCTTAAGCATACCAATTTTTATTTTTTTTTTTACTCCACTTTAGAGAACAGTTCCTTTCTGAATGTGGGACTTAGATGTGGAAAATACATGTTTGTCTTTTCAAGACCTAGGTGGTCTTTAGACTGTGTTGGATTATGGAACAGAAAAATATTGCTAGACTATTGTGTGGCTTTAAATATATGGGTAAACATACAGATATGCAATTAAGGTAATAAAGTAGTAGTCTAATTTTACAGATATCAGAATGAGCTCACATGGTATCTATTTACTTGGCAGCAGTCAAAAACAATAATTTTAACACAAGCCACTTATTCCATTCTTGTCTGTGCAGTGCTGCTTCTTTGCCAAACAGAGATATTTAGAGCAACATAGCTTCCATATGTGTTCAGCGACTTGTTTCTACTAGATATTTTACCCATCACTGTTGCTGAACAATAGCACAGCTTTTACACTTAGGGAAAGTAACATCTTGTGCTGAAACTTAAATACTTAGTTGTTGGCTTTTGTATTGATGCTTTTTTCATCAGTAAAAACGTGGGGGATGAGACCTCCAAAATGTCAACTTACCAATATTTGTTTAAATTAAATAAATTTTACTTAAACACTTTTGAACTATTTTTATAGGGTTTAGTTTAGCAGCTTTTAAGAGGAACAAGAGGAAGCTGGAGTTGGCTGAAAAGGTGGAAACAGATCTCATTCAACTAAAGAAAAGAAGACAATCAAATGAAAAGGTTAGTTCCTGTTTAAAGTTTTGTTGTGTCATCCTAAACTTACAGCTGATTGCTAATAAATTTCATGCTGTATATGGTCAGACTAATGTAGCATCAGAAGCTATTCCTCCTTTACCATCCTAATGTTTAGATGATATAATGGTAACTTAGTGCACTTAAAACTTTCTGCCTTGCTATTTGAAAACCAAACTGTCACTTTGTATCTTGTTTGTGCTATGACAATTATTTTGCTCATTTTGAACTGGAAATATGACAAAAGTAAACACAACCAGATAATTATTTTACTGAAACATTTTCTTTAGCTTGGGATCTCTGTCACTGTTTCCCACTTTTTAATGTTTCCTGAGCGCACTGCATTATGAAGCTGAAATTGGTGAAATTTGAAATATCAGGTAGGTAAACATGTGCATCTGTGCATGCATCTAGCATTGACCTGGCCCATATTACTTGTACTATAAAAACTATTAAGATTCCCTCTGTTCCCCTCACTCTTAGTTTGAATTTGGAGCCTTTGTTACCATTTGAGAATGTCAATCACAGTATTTGTGTTTACTGTTGAATATCAAAGCATAGCTCATTAAATTAAATGCCTATGCTTTATTTGGCACCTGTGGGCTTTTGGATTGGCCATTTGTCTTTGCTTTGGTAAGCTGACTGACCACTGCCTTGTGTAGTTGCATATGTTGATATAAATAACCTATAAATCCCAGAGAATTGACAAAAAAAAAAATATTCTCTGTAGTCCTTGCAAATGCAAACCAGTGATAAATTAGGCATTTTTCTTCTGTGTTCTTAGATAAGAAGTTTTCCCTAGCAGGGTGTTAGTTTTCTATTTTCAAAGAGATAAGACCCATAAAGGAAGTAAGGATAGAGGGAGGGGAAAAAGTTAGTTACTCATTTTGAAACATTACAGGACTTCCGGTACCTCCTTATGAAACTCACGCTGTTAAATTGTAACTGAGGGAGGAGAGATCTCTGTACAGCATTAATGTTCATGTAATAAGGGGCAAGTCAATGCTTGAAATATATGCCAATGCATGAGCTTACCCACCTGCAATTTGAAATTTCAAGGGCTCCAGAGTCATGTGCAGCGCTTGTGGGAGACCTCCAAAGGCCAATGATGGTAGGTAAAGGAGGGGATCAAATAGAGCTCTACTCACTGGTAAGTAATCCAGTAACATAACACACTGGTTTTGTCAACTTTCTGGGCACGTCTTGTGCATGGAGGGACGATGAAAACCAAACCATGCTATCAATGTAGAATGCTTGTGTTATCCACACCACACAGTGTAAGATAATTGCAGCCTTACAGGAAGTTTAGTTTTTCAAAACGAAATAGAAATGAAAAATCAAGTTCTACAGGAGCAAATTCTGAAAAAAAAAAAAAAGTAAAAATAATAATTTGAATGATTCTCTCTAAGCTAGTGGAAAAGCATCCTTTAGCAAGGATGAGGTGCATGATTTGTCATCCCAAAACTCGTACTGTCAAAGCTGAGTGCTTATAAAAGGTTTAAAAATAATTGTTTAAAAGCCATTTAAATTTGTGAATAATTGTAAGTTTATCTTCTTGTCAAAGTTAAGCTTTAATTGATAAATACTCATTTAATTTTTTTATTTGCTGTGCTTTTTTGGAGCTACAGACCTGTCCCTTTCAGCAGAACTTCATAGCTGTTTTATCATCTAGTTTGACTCCCTGGCTTCAACCCTATGCTGCAGCTTAGCTCACGTGCATCTGTTGCCAGTACTGCACAGTTGTTATAAATTCTGGTCATTTTTTTTGTCTATGAAATTTTAGAAGTTGGGAGAAGAGCAAGATAGAAAGGATGTTATCAAAGTTGAAGTTGAATGGAAATCACAACTGAAAGGCCTATGTGAAGAGATAGTATTGCAGACCAAAAAAGGCTGAAATTACTTGGAAGTTTTAGCTGCTGATAAATTTCACCAGCTAAAAATAAACAGACAGTTTTAAAAATTAGTTTTCAATAGAAGTAAATTATTCCAAGCTCAAAAGAATGAGAGGCTGTTTAAATTTAGTAAAGATTGTATGGAAAAACTAGCCAGTGTAACTTACTAAAGGACTTTTATTTCCGGAGTAAATGGAATTTTCCCTTTGCTGTATTTTTCATTGTTTACCTGATGTAGGATTTGTAGAAGGTTATGCGATTGCACACAGGAAGATCCATTAATAACTTTCACAACCTCAAAAATCAGTAAAATTGAGAGTTTTTTTTTTTAAGTTGTAGTGACATATATTGATTTACATAGTTAAGAAGTCATTTTTGTTTGTATGTGAATTAACTAAGTGTATTCATAGGGGGACTGGCTATGATGTGTTAATTCAGCGAGATGCCATTCTGAAGTTCTCACTTCAAGCAACAGTAAACATCAGAAGTAAATGTTTGTCGTCTTGCTGTTAACTTGCCTTTTACCAGAGGAAATTGTCGTTGAAAATAGCTTAGTAGCTTCTGCTATTACAAACCTTTTTTAACAGCTATGCTGAAGTTACTTGTAAGAGGAGTTGTCCTCTCCTTGATTTGAATAAGTGGCACTAAGAATTTCTAGTGCACATGGTTATTTTTTCATAGGTTAGTGTTTATAAGTTTTTTATAGCCTAGTTATTTAACTCCATAAATAAGATTATTTAGTTTGAGGTTTATTAAAACTGATTTATTTTTTATCTAGTTTAACATGTGTACTCAAGTATGTGTACAGCACTTTGAATTATATGTGTGGAATCGGCAGTTTCATATTCTTCAACTCCTGTATTGAGACAATAGCACTGAATGTATTTAGAAAAGAAAAATAAATCTGTCTTTGTTCAACGGAAAAACATTATTTTCTTTGAAGCATTTTGTGCATTATAATTTTTGTCATTGATCATCTTGAACATACCACATGAACTTTTAGCCGGTTCCAACTTGAACTCTTTGGGTGAGCCACAGGCAATGCATAGCAATATGCATCATTCCCATTATATATGGCGAACTTCAATCACTTAACTTTTTCCTCAAATCAGGGTTTTTTTTTTTTATGGCTGTGTGAAGGTAATTGTAAGTGTAGGAGTCAACTATGGCAATCCTAGTGTCTGTCTTATTTAGTCTTGCAGTTTGAATGGGAATTTGAATTTTATGCGTTTCCTTTTCCTTAAAAAAGAAAGAAATTTTCTGTCCCACATCCATGCTGAAATGGTCTTTGATAATGCTACTTTTTAGACTCCAAAAGTATACATCAAAATCCATTTAATATGGGAAGAGAAACCTAAAGACTTTTCATCCGTTCCAGTTGAAGTAAAACCAAAACAAAACAACAAATCTCCTCTGTGGAATACCATGTGAAATAATTCCCTCATCTTGAAAATGGAGGTGAGGCAAAATGTTCTGTTTACATGCCAAACAACTATTAAACTCAAAAGGCTAGGGTTGAGTATTGAGCTTTGTATGATTAGATTGTAACTGCCCCTTTTCAAACACATGAATATTGCACCAATCATGCATACCCTGTCAAGATTAGATTTCCATGAGAGTACATCATGCTATGCTGTCAGTTGCCCTAGAGGACAATGTTTCTAGAAATTGGTACGTATGAATTGGTCCCAGTGCTCCCAGAATAGTGACATTTTCGCTTGACTTAAGTGGATTTAGAAGTATTTCTTTAAAATATTAAATAAAATGTTGCTTAAAGGATTGCCTCTCACCTTATTAAATCTTGCAGTAACAAACAGAAATGCTCCATCAAGAACACCTTAAATCTGAGATTTTTAAAAGACCAAAATATATTAATTACTGATACATTATTTTCTAGATAATGCTGTCCACTATTGTGCTCCTCTCTGTTCCCACTTGATCTGTAAAGGGCCAACGTTGGATGTACTAGAAGATTTATGTGTTGCCCTGTTCTTCTTTGAGTAGGAGGATACTGTAAAAAAATATATATTTTTAGGGGAATCTACTTGATCTAATTATCATCAAATATAGAATCCTGTTTATTTCTGTGGATAGTTGGGTAATAGTATATAGATGTTAATTGCTTCAATCTGATTCATTTTACATTTTGTCAGGTATGATGCTCAGAGATGGATTTAATGGTAATTACTTTTCACAGAGTTTCAGAGCAATCTCAAGTCGAGAGGGAGAAGGCCCTCTGTAGGTATCTTTCAGCAGGCATTGGGTAGAACTCTCCTAAACTCTTAATTACTTCCTTAGGGGCTTACAAAATTATGCAGAAGAAGGGAAGGATGAGTTTTCTAAAATACTTAATAGAACTCTGCATTTCTGCAGATGAGCATCTTCCTGCTTTGGGTGCATGTTCTTAGCTAAGTTTGAATATTTGGTCCATGATTTCATGAAACTGACTCCGTTTCCTGTCACAAGGTGCAAATAAATGAAGTAATGTGCGGTCTTACTTTTTACATTGACTTTCAGTTGTTCTCATGTAAAATGTTAACTACATAATAGATTATTTTTAGGCTGCAATATTACATTGTTAAAACCCCCAAACTGCTTTTGCAATGGATGTGTTAGTATGAAGTATTAGCTGAAGTAAGATATGGAATTTGTAATAGATATCACCAAGTAATAATGAAGTTGCCTTTGGAACTTACAAAATTTTTAATCTAAGGTGCTACGTTAATGAATCAAATACATAAAAAGATAAGGGCAAGCAAGCTGGATCTTGTTTAGTCCTTGTTGGACCCATATAGAATTTGGACTTAACTTTAGACTTAATTGTAGTGTTTAAGATATTTCTTTTGATTGTCTTAATACTAGCTTGATGGGGTCCTGTGTTTTTCAGCATTCATATGGTTTGAAGAGATGAAATGTGTGACATTGAAAGTCTTCTCACCAGGTGCATTCTTCCTGGAACTCCTCAGGTGCATAATGGCTTTTTGTATGGAGAAGTACAGGACGGTCCTTTGTTAAATTGTGAGGAGCGCTGCATTTGCTGGTTCAGCAATCATAGGGTTGTCAGAACAGCTTACGTATGTAGAAGACTTTTAGTACTGAACTACAGAATTGATTCATGGTGTCACTTGTAAGTGTGTGAAGTCAATAATGTTGAAATGGGAGCAAACATAAAAATAAGTCTAGAATAGATCCATCAATGCATTTTTCCCATTGGATATGGAATAGAACTGGTCCTCGCTGGTGTTCAGTTTGTTGAGTAAGGATAAATACAGCATCAGCAGTGGTTCTTTTTCTGATCACAAAAAAAGACCCCAAACTTACATTGCTGAGAAGGAAAACAGAAAATTGCTTTGCTTCAGTGATCCAAATTTCCTTCAGAATGTTGTGTGGGCCAGGTTAAAAAAAATGCTTCCCTCAGAAAAGGTTTCCAGCCTCTTAAGTTGCCCCATCTGAAAATAAAATAAGCCAAAGCAAGCAAACTATACCACTGAATGGACAGCAAATACTGATAGTAAATAGATCTTCTTTTAAAGGAAATAATGGTGAAGAAAGTTTCCATGCAACATATACTTGTAAATGCTTGTGGTTTTTTGATTAAAGTATCTTCTAAAAAAAGAAATTAGTAATATAGCTACTGAAGGCAAATATTTTATGCATGTAAGAGCTAAAGTGGAAAATGGATGGCAGATTGAGCAGATAGTTTTACAGATGCTGCAAAGGCGGCTGCAAGCATTTTTTCTTTGCTGTCAGATGATATGGAAAACATACTGATCCATACTGAACCTCATCCTTCTAAAATGTATTTCTGTTCATTATGGGAGCTCCAAGTGTTTGATTTAATATGAATTAAGATTACACAGGTGGCCTTAATTCCGGTACTTCCTAACTTTGATGGGCTTGATTTTCATATCTGTAGTTGTCTATTAATCAAGTTTTTTGTTGTGGGTATAATTTCCTTTGATAAAAGGGGGCAGGGGATGGACAACAAAACCTGCATCGTATTAGTAGTTCTTCTCTATATAGAAATCATAGGATCATAGGAAAATTCATGTTGGGAAGAGCTTTATCCAGTCTGATCTTGAAAACCTCCAAGGATGGGAGTCTGCACCTCCACTGAGCAGCCTGCTCTGCTGCTTAAGACGTTTTCAATCCACTGAATAGTATTGTTCTAACTGGGTTAATAATACCTGAGTTAGGTTGTGACTGGCAGTCCTGGGAGATGTGAAATACATTTGCCTGTGAGGTGTGAAAGAAGGGTTCCTTAATTTTCTTTTACCTTTACAACTTGGAAGGGAATGTATGCTTTTCTTATCCCCTTTGCTCCCATCCTCAAATTGCCTTTCCTTCTCTGACCCTCCCTGATCTTGGTTTTTACCTTCCTCTGCTTTTCAGCTTACTCTTCTTCCCAATGCCAGTTGAGACCCTAGATCTATAATTTTCACACCTCTTTCTTTAAGCAGTTATTCTGCTTTACTGTTAGGACATCCATCTGTTTGTTTTCATATTGAATAAGGTCAGTGCCAGCTTCTGAGTGTTGAACTTGTTCAAGAAGATCTAGGTGTAGGTGAAGAGAAGAAACTTCATATTATTCTGGGTGAAAGCAAAGGATGACATTTCTGCTTAGGAGTTCCAGTTGCTTGAAAAATACTGTAGAACCCTCTAGTGCTGCATTGCTTATTTTTCCTTTTAAGACTGGCACAGTATTAACTCAAGTGTTACCTTTTTAAAATAAGCGTGGCCAGAATATCATCAGCATGAGTATACCAAGAATTCTGCTTCATAAGTGATGTTGTATGCCCAAGGAGATTTTAATTGATGATGGGAACTTGGTAATTTGAAGTTGAATGGTTGGGTCTATGGTTTGTTTGTGGTGTGTTTTTGTTTGTTTGGTTTTTTTTCTTCCTCCCTCTGGATCCTAGTCCAGAAAATACGCATTTATATGAATAACTTAATATCCTTTGGCATAATTTGCTTGGGTAGGTTTATGCAGGATTTTTTTAAGGCAGGTAAGTTTTTATACAGGAAAGATTGATCAGCTAAAGGCTTGAGGGCTTGTGCAACAGCAGCCTTCATCTTTGCAGTATATGATGGATGATGTATCTGTTTTGTTTATTCATTTTATTTTATGTACACTGCATTCTGTGTCCCGTCAAAAGTGTGTGACTGGGCATGAAGTCAGAGTGCCTTGCCCTGGGTTCTGCAGGGAGGGGAACCTAGGGCAGGCCTAGGCAGAGAAGGGAAAACTGCTCGTACTCTTAGAGTGGCTGAATGTGGTGTATTAAGGAAGGGGGGAAGGATGGAAAGATCCAAGGTGAGACACCTGAAGTGTGAGAGAGGAGACAGAGAACTTGCATCAGGAATGAATGCTAAAAGACCCCTGCTCTTAGGGGAGCAAATCTCCTTTGGAAGCAATTGAAGTAAGGGCACTTTTCTAGTGACCCAGAAGGAGCAAAGGGTAATTCGTTTCAACCAGGAATCCACTAGAGATTCCTGAGCTGAGAATGAGTCTGGGAGAAAGAATCTGTCCTAGGGGAGATTTCTTCTGAAGACTTCTGTTTATTGTCTCACTCAGAATATTAGAATTTTCTCTTTAGATTCTCTGAAAATGCCATCTTGAAGCTTTTGGGAAAGGGCTTTTGAGATGGCATCTTTGGAATAAGTTGCTGAATCATTTCTTAGTGGACAAGTGGCTACCACTAAGAAAACAGCATTTTGGGCATTTTTGTGAGTAAAGGCAGGTAATCTAAGCATTGAATGAGTTCTGAGATGTTTATTACCTTCTTGTTTCCTGAGCAGTTTTCTTTGGGTCCTGAAGCAAGAGAGCATTTTGGGAAGATTTATGGCAGCACATTTGGTACAATATGCACGATAACAAATCCATTTTATTGATAGGCTTGTCACTTGGTTTTATGCACGTTAGTTTGCACACTCCTGAGAAGTATAATCTGACTTTAATGTACTATTTTGACTAGTTGTTTCTGTTTGTGTGTCCTGCAGGAGAATGACTCAGGAACATTGGATACAGTTGGTGCAGTTGTTGTTGACCAAGAAGGAAATGTTGCTGCTGCTGTCTCCAGTGGAGGTTTAGCACTAAAGCATCCTGGAAGAGTTGGTCAGGTGATTATATGTTTCCAGTTGGGAATGACCGTTCAGTGTCACGAGCAATTGTGATATTAAGCAAGAGCTGTGATAGCAAACTGATGTTCTTCCTTCCGTCCCATCAAACTCTGAAGGCGTTGTCACAGCATTGGAATGCAAGTTTTGTTTTTAATGTCCTCTATCAGTGTTATAAAACGTTGATAGGTCAGAAGTTGTTCTGCAGTTAGTTACCTTTTGCCAGAGATATTAATAAGTTAATTTCTTGGGCTTAAATACCTCCTTAATACCACAAAGTCTCTTAAATGCTTAGAGTGTGTTTAAATAAGATTTTCATCAATATTTTAGGGAAGCTGTCCTAAATAATTTTTAAATGCTCTTGTGAATTGGTAGAAGTGACAAACATATTAAAAGAACACTTCAGGTATAGGCATTCCTTATTGTTATTAGATGAGGGAATTTTGAGGTGCATCAGAAATGTTATACTCCATTGCTGTACCAGCTGTATTTTTGATTGAGTTTTGCCACTGTCCTGAAAGCAGTTCTCTTTTGAAATGTATTTAAGATTTTCTTTTTGGAATAGCAGAGTGAAAGAGACTTTATATAAATAGGGAACAGCTGGAATTATTTTGTCTTTCGATTTCTGTACCTTCATTTTCTGTAAAGTTGAGTTCGAATACCATACATCTATAATAATCACTCAGTTCCAAAAAACAGTAAAATAAGATGTAGCAAAATGAATTAGAATTGCAATTTTGATTGTTACGATAAAGAAAATCTTTTGTATTAATGCTTGGATTTTTCTTGTTTCTTCTTTTTTGTTGTTGTTGGTTTGAGGTTTTTTAGTGGTTTGGTTTTGTTTTTAAGGGAAGGGAACAAACCAAAACCCTTGTGTACTTAAATTTATGAAAGATGCACTTCTTTTCTTAGGCAGCTCTTTATGGTTGTGGCTGCTGGGCTGAAAATACAGGAGCTCATACCCCTTACTCCACTGCTGTGAGTACTTCAGGTATTTACTACTTTTATAAATATTTCAAAAAGTTGCTATCTTTCGCTGCAATTAGTTTAAAAATTCCAAATAAAGTGTTTCTGTGAATGGTGAGTTAAAATATTAACATTTCCAGACTACACTCTATATTTATATCATTTGTTTACATATAAATATATATATGTCAGTACTGTCTTTAAATCCATAAATTGATTTCTGTTGGTTGCTTATGTTAGTTTTTTACCTTAATTAACAACCATGTGAATTTTTATCCTATTTAAAAGATTTTTGTATTGCACCGAAAGGATGTACTGTATTTTTTATCTGTTAAGGGATCTGCCGTCTTGTAAAGAAGTGCTATTATAAGCCTAATATTTTGTAAAAATAAGTTTGTCAACAGATCTACTAAATGTAACAGGACTGAAGAAATAATAAAAATTAGAAAGAAAAAAAACAAGATTAAAAAAACATCCAAAAGGTAACTAGGAAGATAGCTCACACTGCAATGTAAGAATTGAGAATGTAAGCCGGGATGTTTTTAACTTGTCCGGAACAGACACTGAAAAGATAACTGTTTTGTTACACATTACTAGGTTGATATTGTAGAACGCAAAAGCCTTAAGGTGAAGTTATGTGGGAGTTGTCTTTACTTGCTTTTACTTACTTTTTACACATAAAAGCAGTTGAAAGGACCGCATTTTATCTCTTCCCCCCTCCCCCCCCGCCCCCCCAGTTGTATGAGCAGTCTCAAACTTGTAACACTTTTTTGTAACCGCTTATGTCAGGATGCAAAATTTATGGTTTGGACCACTGCTTAATGGTCAGAGTTATCAGTGTTCAGTATAGGGAGAGATGAAAAAATCTGCGGAGTTCAGATTTAGGTAATGTAAACTATATCCCAGGAGTACTGTGGAGTTGAGAGTCCTGTTACAGAAATAGTGGGGGGAGCAAGGTAACAGGGTGTAGAACTAAAGTTTGACAAAGTCTGAAGAGCATCAGGAATATCCTGTGTTGCTTTTGAAGTCATATACCTTTCTAATTTCCCCTATATGTAAGTCTGTCTAGTGCTGTTGAAAATTTGTGTAGATGTTCACCCACAAGATCAATGTTAGTAATAGCAAGTGTCGTTTTTAGTACTTAGGCAAAGGAAAGTTCTTCTGAATGCATAAGTGTTGGAAGATCTTTCTACTTAAGGAACACCATATTGATTTTAATTTAATAAATGCTTACCTATATAAGCAAATATATTTACATATTGCAGTATTTGGGACTGTAATAATTAGTGAGTATATGTCCGATATTAGAGATTGTTTGTGGAACAACTGAGAAGGGCACCTTTATTTATTTATTCAAAACTGTTCTTTACAAAGTCAGCTGGATTTGAAGTCTATGCAAGTACCAGCAAGCATCCTGATACACTTAAAGGAGATGTCTGGTTTAATGATGGCCTTAAATAGAAGCCTCCTTCCTTTTTGCTGGTACCAATTTTATATAGTGATAAATACTTTAATGTTATACTATTTATAACCATCACACATATATGTGTGTGTGTTATATATATATATGTATGTATGTTTCTTTGGTTCATCTAGCTGCTTCTGGCTTCCATGACATTAATACCAATCCCAGTTAATTGAAATAGACTGCTGGCAGTCTATGAAGCATGGCCATCTGTTTATTCAGTGATTTGAAATTCAGACTAGCGGTGTTTAATTAAACTCTTGTTTCTGGTTTTCCTTTAAAGTGTGTGTGTGAGAGAGAGGGAGATAGAAATGTTTACAGGAAGTGAGAACTCTTCTGTAATCAATACCATTCTTTATTCCATTTTCAGAAGCTCACAATGTTTTATTTTATAATGTAATTTATGTTTAGCGCAGTTTAAAAATCATTGATGCCTCACTCCTGTTTAAAATATGAGCATCCAACAATGTGAACCATGAAGTTAATTAAGGGGTAGAGGGATGGAAAAATTAAATTATAGGAAGGGTTGAAAGAATGAAACTGACAACTTGGCTGGATCACAACAGGAGATGGGAATGGGGTCATAAACATCTGCAAATATTTAAAAGGTGAAATTGTCAAGGCTAAGCAAGAAAATAATATATTAACATACATTGCTGTTGGATTAAATTTTTAGAAAATAAAGGTACTGCCTAAATTCTAGAAGATGCCTTGATTTGAAAAACTCTAAGATTGACAGCACTTCCTAAGAGCAGATAAGCGTTGTCACTTGGTGTACATAAAATTAGACTAGACTGTATTTGTAATAGTGATTATACCTGCCTCCTGTAGGTTTCTCAGTTTATGTGGACATAGATTTAAAAAAAAAAAAGGCAACAAATGAAACTAGCCTGTTATGTATAAATAAAAACTGTGTGTGTATGTGCATTCATTTCATGTTTCATTTTACATACAGATATATACACTTGTGTGTAAAGGCGTTTAAAATACGTACATGAAATAACAGAAATTTACAATCGGTTCAGATTTCTGTGTTTTTCACAATATAACATTTTATTCTTTTAATTTCACATGTCTTTTAATTTTAATTTGTCTTTGAGATGGGAAATTTGGCACAAATTTATCCTAACATTTTCTACAGGTAATTATTCTGTTGTAAATGGAGGGAAGAGGGTGAAGAAAATTAGACTTTGGTTGCTGTGTGTATTGAGTACTGTATGTGTAGACTTTTAATACTTATTGCTAAATGACTTCACAGCTGACGCATCAAATCGCATTTGAAATTTAAAAAAAAAAAATCTTGAATGAAGAGAAAAGTTTAACTATGATTCCCTTAAAGCTTCATCAACAAGTATGCTCAAAATTATTAAGTATTACAATCTGTTAAACCAAATCATTTTAACTTAAGGAATCTTCGAGAAATAAAAGGTTTCACGTTTGTGCTGGTTTAGACTTTTAAACTTTTTTTAGTGATAGCTGAGGATAGAAATTCAAACCTTGAGAGTTTGTTACTTTAGGCACTATATTCAGTCTTGAAAAAGCATGTTCTTTGGCATAAGTTTCCTACCAGCAATTTTTAAGGGCCAGGTTTTGTAAACTATTTTGATTCCTTACTTATGAAATTGCTCATGTCATTGGGTTTTGGAAGCTATGATCAGCAAGAGATTGAACAGGTTGGGGAAAACTTCTGGTGTGGGTAGAGTTTGGAATAGTAATTCAAAGTATACAAAATACAGGCTCTTGCACATTGAAATCCGTGTGAAATCGGCAGGAATGTAAGAATGGACACACTGGGTTGAACCAGAGCTCCAGATAGTTTGGTATCCTGTTTCAGGTAGAGGGTGTTTGCAGGTCTCCAAGGAAAAGTAAGGGACTGGTAAAAGCATCTCCACTGTGTTATCCAAGCTTCTAGCAATTTGTGATATTGGGACTTTATAAGCTGGAGATATCTTTGGTTTTAATAGGTCAGGATGACTTTCTCAAAATTTCTCATTTCTTTTTGTACTTAGAAGACTAGTTATTTAAATTTTGCTGGGAATGTTTTTCTTATTCTGTGGTGGTTTACCTTTGTAGAAACTTTCTTGGAAAAAGAAATGTTAGTTTAAATGCCACAGTTAGTAACACAGTAGGTTTTATTCCTGAATTTTTATTAATTTTGTTCTAAAATTCTTCTATTGAAGCTTCAATCTGAGACATACATTTCAATGCTTTCCGTGTTAAAAAAAAAAGGGGGGGAAAAAAGACATCGCTGTAAAAGTACTTCATTAAAAGTACTTCCAAATTCACGTAGCTTTCTTTCAATGGTCATGTATTATTTGAGGACATGCTTTTAAATCTTGATCTTCTGTTGGCCCTGTGGATGCTGGCAGGCTTGCTGCTTTTGCATGTTCAGGGAGGATTTGGTATTAGTTCTTATGCTTTTAGCAAGTTGTTTCTCAAATATTTTTGGCCATTTTTACCATGATTTTATATTGAATGTGCCAAAGGTGGTGGCTCTGAACTTGTTTGGGCATAGCTTCAACTTTTTGAACAGTATTTTCTTACCTCTAGCAGTTCCTTGGCCTTGTTGTTTAGCCACACTGTCTTTGGTTTTATTTTTTTTGGCTTTTCAAAAGTTACTTCATGGCTTATAAAATACGGGATATTGTAAAACTCATATTTTATGGCTATAGTTTAACAGGGGGTGGGACAACTGAAATCAAACGATGAAGACTTTCTAAAGACAGGATGGGGGACACAGTGGAACTTAGGAATGACTGTGACTATAAAGGACCTTAAATTCAAGTTTTATTCTGCAACTCAGTCTAAAATTTAGTTTCTATGTAAACAAGTAAAATCTTTCAGTTTTTTTTTTATCAGTTTTTGGAGATATTTCAACATATGAACTCTGAATTATTTTTTTTAAAAAAGTACAGTTGTGGGACTTTATTGGCAACTGAAGGATAAACATTACAGGAATTCTGTAAGTCTCTCAAAACCAGTATTAAAATTGAAGAAATTCAGAGAATGTTGCAGTTGCAGGCATAGCTAAGATACGTGGGCAACCTTAACTGTGACATCTAACAACATAATGCAGTTACCATTCCATGCAAGAATGATGGTAGAGACTGCGTGAAAGCTTGTTAGATGAGATGAGCATTAACAGTGGCCTTTATTTGGAAAAAATGTAAGTAACAGCTAAACAGGTTTTTTGATCAGCATAGTAGAAGCCAAATCTTTGGTCTTTAAAAGCTCGTGCATGCACATGTGCACACATTTGCGCATGCACAGAGACACAAACAAAACAGCCTCCTCTTTAAGCACCCCCAGCACCTGCCGAAAAAAAAAAGGCCAAAACCACACTGGGAAGGCCACTTGGAACTCTTTAGTGAATGTTTTTCGTTGGTATATGAATGTAAACACAGGAAGATGGGTATTATTTGGAGGGAAAACATTTGTGAACAAAACCTGACCACAGGAGAAACAATAATCCATTTTTTGGCTGTACTTTAAGAAAACATTTCCTATTTTTCCCTGAGCATAATAGGAATCAAAGACTTTGTGTATATTCTTCTCATTCA